CGGCATATCATAATTAGGTGCGACTCGAAGTTGGTTATGGGTGAGATTGAGGGCTCCTAACCCGGTCGTAGGGACCAATGTATAGCTGCGCAACATGATACTCACTAGGTGAGCTCTGCGGCCTAATAATGTAGATATTCGACAAATTCAATTGGGAGAGCCCGCCGGCCATACCCTTTCTACGATGGGATCAGCGTTTCCTCTTCGCAACACCAGACGACGAAGCACCACCCGGAACGGGGGAAATCAGGGGAGGACAGGGAATAGCGGACGATGAAGCATCACCCGCATCATCTCCCCAGAGCGTTGGGTCAGATTCTGCCTCGTCCTCACCAGACGCGGACACGCTCGTATCATCTTCACAGCGCTCCACATCGTCCTCAGTACAATACTCCCTGGTATTTTCCATCTCTTCGGCGAACTCCTTCACTAATCGGAGCTTAATCTGAGGGGAGGGGTCTTCCTCGTTAAAATGTCGGTACTCCTCGTCTAAAGACGCTGTTAAATTCAAGGGGAGGGTACGCGACGACTGTCGGGGAACGGCATAACCACAAACAATTCCTTAAGGGTGGTTTCTCGATCTAGGTGATGTTTCCCACAAACACTAAATCTAACCCCCAAGGAAGCAAAATATGAGAAAAAAGACAAGAACAAATGAAGAACCTAACCATGAAGATTTGAAGAACTCGACGAACACTTGAAGATTTGGGAAAGACTTTATCTCTCTAGAAAGTTGGGGCAGCACTTCGTTACTCAGCTTAAACGCAAATAAGGGCATGGCCTCGGATTGAGGGGTACTTATAGCCACACCCACCAACGGTCATTACACGTGGCGTAACCCGATTGGCCGAACACAACATAAAAAGAGCCTCTTGCCACTTGTACAAAATTCATGGATGATAGCCTCTGGCCCGTGACCTTCGCCCAAGGGTTCTCCCATAGGGTTACCTTGGTCAGGGATCGCCCAGGGGTTGGATTTCATGAGGGATACTGGTGATTCCGCTTCGGCCTAATTCCTATCTTACTCCTTCACACCTACCATGCTCTTTGGCATGAAGCAGTGGGGGACTAGGGACTACATCGACTGCACCAAAATAAGCAAACAGGGAAGCAAAGCTCAAACACACCACCCAGAACGTGATGTGTGTCTTCCCTTGACATGTGGAGTTCCAACGGCCTTGGGTCATATGCTCCACCCTCGACCACAAGCATACGATCCATCAGCTAAAATCAAAGGCAGGGCATTCATCGTCCACAAAAACAAGGGCACACAACGTCCTCTGGTCAAGGACCTCCATCATCCTCAACATAGAAACAGGAGCTCCACAAATGGCTGGGTGAGCAAAACGTGAAGTTCATCTTCGGCCGCAAGCAAAGTACGAAACAAGAAAGTAAATATTGAGAGCACATCGTCCTCAGATTAGAGGCACCCAACGACACCTACGGCCATGCGGCCTCTCATTCGTCCAAATTAACACGCCAAGTCAGGACATGCATCGTCCTCAAAACAAAGGACATGCATCATCCTTGGCACAACGTACAAAGAACATGACACACACATCATCCTCAACACGAGGCACATCTCGCATCCATAGGAGCGAGGGATCCGCAACGGCCCAGAAAGCAACAACAAGCATCAACCACCAGGTGGTACCGCCTCAGCCAAGAACGCCGAACATTCAGATGGTCCCACGTCGGCCGAAACATCAAAGCAACAAAATTACTCCCTTTCATTTCGTCTGTATCTCAGCTTAGAGAGTGGGGGACTCCTGATAGAGTATATGAGCCTAGACCTTGTGGCCCACATACTTAGAAAATTAAACACAAAAGACCGACGTCACGTGGCATTGCATCAGCCAGATGGCACCCCATCGGCCGGAACCAAAAGTGCTCAGATCACGGCCCAAGAGCCCAAGGCAGAAGTGGGTACCTCTTCAGCCTAGTACCGCATCGGCCTGGCACCCGCATCGGCCTGGCACCCGCATCGGCCAAGAAGCTCCGACAGATTGTATTTCCATACTTAGTTAAATAAACTATGTACCCAACCCATTAGTGACCTTATTATGCCCAAAAGAGGCTTTGTTATGCCCAAAAGATGCCTTATTATTGTAATGGGCCTCCTAAACCCAAGGCTAGGAGCCCAAACCCACATTTACTCCTATAAATAGCCCCGTAGGGGTAGTTATAGGGGGTTGAGAAATATTATTTATTCACTTTTCTCTCTAGCTCTCACTTCTCTCTAGAATTTAATACTCTATCATCACGAATTTTGGCTTACTGAATATAATAGGTTAAGTTAACAATCTATTTACCAAACAATAATTTAACTTTATAGATGGTCAATATCATTAATTATAGTAAAAACCCCAAAAATTTGCGGATCAACCAGTCTACAAACAAGGTCATGAATGAATAATTGACAACTTCACGCGTCAACTAACTCTTCATATATAAATTGGAGGTTTTCAAAAATATTAATAAAATAAAACTTATTTATATAAATATGACTAATATTTACTATAATATTGTGTCATGGTAACTTACATTTAAAAATTGAATATAAATTACTCTAATTTTATTACTACTCTAATCAGCAGTCATATTTTTGTAAACAATCTTTATTTTAGGCATAAATGTGTAGTTATATCATATGAGTATAAGTTTTACGTAATAGTCTTTTGGAGTATAAAGATGCGTCAAACCTATATTTTATAAATGATCATACATTTGAAGGACAAATTTAATTGTCGAATAAAAGAAAAATGATCACAATTTTTACATAATATTGAGATGTGGACGTTTTTTATTAAATATTTTATCCTAACCGTAAATATTTTTTTAATATACTTTGTTCTTTATTTGATTTATAAAATGTATTTTAAATAAACTATTTTCATAATTCAGCAGATTCAATCAAGCTAGCCGTTTCATTCATAATTTTATCAACTTCAGAAAAACCAGTCAATTTTGTGTTATCAAATAGGCTCTAAAGCATAATTTTCAAACTATTAAATTTATTGCTTGAATGTGTTATGTGCATATTAATATACGGAGTAGCATAAATTAATGACAAATGAGTGAAATGACAAATGACCTCAACCTAAGAGTAGAGCTGTCAAACGGGTCAACCCGACCCAACCCGAGCCGACCCGTGACGAGTTATGCTTTATGTGGGTTGGGTCGGGTCAACCCATTTAGTGACGGACCAGGATTTCTACAACCCTAACCCGACCCACCTAATCCGTGAATTAAATGGGTTGGCCCACGGGCCAATGTAAGAAAATATATGCCAAAAGATTCTTTAATAGATATTACCCTGGAGTATATATTTATATTAGTAAATAGTAATAAGGGAAATAGAAGAAATCAAAATACTAAGAGCTCGATACTTGTTAAGTTTAATTAAAAAATATTAAGTACTAGTTATACGAGAATTTGAAAACTATAAGAGGATATGTAACAAAAATACTCATTGTATAAAAGTAAAGATCTATTTAATTCTTTTGATTGATTATTTGTAGTAAATCATGACTAGTAATTTCTAAATATTGTATCGAACTTCACATAAAATATATACTTCAACATTTTATTTGAATATTTACTATAGCAAATAATAATTATTTTGCAATTGTTGTAATTTTTTTAATTGTAACTATAATGTTTTTGGTAGTAAAAGAACAATATTGAAGATAATAAAAGTCAAAACTATATGTTTGTATATTGGCCCGCGGGCCAACCCGCAACTCGTTGGGCCAACCCACTTAAACCCGCAACCCGTTGGGCCAACCCACTTAAACCCGTGAACTAAATGGGTCAGAAATTCACAACCCTAACCCACCAATAAATGGGTTTAAACGGGTCAGCCCGCAGGTTTCGGCCCATTTTGACGGCTCTACCTAAGAGCATCTTCAATGTGAGGGTGCACTGCAACTGATGTGGCATACGAGAGAGATGGAGATAGAATAAATATTTGAATGAAGTGATATGTAGAGAAAAATGAAAACGAGGAGAGAGATAGAGGTAAAAATTGACCAATGTCTATGACAAGGTCCATATATGGACCTCACACTGGATTCGAGAAGAAAAAGTTGATCAAAAGTGGATTAAAAGTGATATAAAAATGAAAAATAAAAATAAATTAGGAAATACGTGGATCCTACACCTAAAAATTGTGAAATAAAAAATGAGACCTGTGTATTAGGCTGCTCGCAACCTGCCTGTGAATAACCCAAATTTCATACATTCACCCAAATAAATGCAACAAACCATGTATTTTGGGGTGCAAGTAGGTGAATGGCACCCCAAGAGTGGGAATTGGCAGGCAAATTGACGAAGGTTTCCTTTGCTCGCGGGAGAGAAGGGCCGAATTGATGCAGCAGTCAAATGAAGCGGGTCCCAAGTGTCAGCCACGCGTCTGGAATGGAAAGATTAGGGATGTTTTTACTTGGACTGCAATTCGTCCCAGACCAGATCAGATCAGATCAGACCAGACCAGACCAGATCAGACCAGACCAGATCAGACCAGACCAGATCAGACCAGATCAAACCAGACTAGACCAATTCAGACCAGACCAGACTAGACTTGGATAGTTATAAAAATACAAAGAAACCAGACCAGACCAGATCAGTTCAGATTAGACCAGACCAGACCAGACCAGACCAGATCAGACCAGACCACCAAATTACAGTCCAAGTAAAAACATCCTAGTTCCGCGGTCCGCATGAAAGCGTGCACTCCAGGCGATTCATGAGCAGCTGGTTAAATTAAAATTAAAAATATATATACTACGTATATAGGTAAAATATATACGAAAAAATTGATATTTTTACATCAAAATTTTTGAATTTTTAAATCACAAATTTTGATCGTAAATAAAAATTCTTATAATTGATGTGTAATTATAAAAGTTAGGATTTAAACATTTGATAAAAAAATTGTGTTGGATGAATATAATGACAGTGGTGGGTAGTATTAGAATCCGTAAGAGACCGAACCCTTTCATCGTAGGATGATCTAAAAATGTACCAAGAATTTGCGATTAATCCAAGAATCTTTCTCAAAGATCTACTCCGTACTGCCAAACATTTAAAAAAACATTTAATGCGCAGGTCTGCCGCAGCCAAGTCCCCTCTCGCACACTTCTCCAAGTGAGTAGTTGCTGCAGAACAAAAATGGCTTCATCCGATGGAATCATAAATGATTCACAAATTCAAGAGAAGAAGGAATGTGAATATGAATTGTTGAGGGAAGAGAGAATTAAGGAAAATCAGGAAAAGATTAAGAAACTAGGTTTAGTTAGTCTCTCCCTCAGATTCAAGTCGGTCAAGCCCCATAAATCTCCCAAAACTCCCAAGTCGATTTACCCTTTGCCCTCTTCTCAACCCCCTCGTCGCTCTTCCAGGTTCTCTCTGAAACTTTTCTGTTCCATTACTATACGATGATTGAGTTCATCTGCCTGGTAATTTGTGTTTGGTGTTTTGCTGCTGAGTTCATATTTGTGTTGTCTGGTAATTTCAGGCTGCAGAATGTCAGCCCGAACTACACGGAAATGCCTTCTCCGAAGAGAGTGAAATGGTCAGAGTTAGAAGATGATTTGATTGATTCGAAAGAAGAAGTGTATACGGAAGAACACGAGAAATTGCTTGGCAGCACCGAAATGGATTGGACTCTATTTGTAGATGGGTATGGAACTGATGGGAAGCGGATTTATGATCCAGTGGAAGGGATAACTTGTCATCAGTGCCGGTATTTTCAAATCTCTCTGAACTATTCATTGTTTTCGCCGAGATGTTTAAACGTATTTCTGAAACAGAGTCGAGTACTCTATACTCCGTATAACTTTAGTTTTGGGACTCAACAGTGGATTTCAGTGTTTAAACTTATCAAAATATCACCCGACCCTAAGACTGTTCGAATAGATTTTTAAAAAGTTCAATTTCATCTGGTATGCTTATTTCTCTCGATAAATGAACTTCTATAGTTCTATCAGAGGGGAAATGTACTATTTTGAAAATAAATTTAAAAGTGCCTCCATTTAGAAACTTGTGAATATTATACGAGTATTTACTCTATAAATTTCATCTATTTGTGAACATATTTAAAAGTAGCTCTATTTATATATAATTGGTGACCATACAGAGAATTGTGAAATTATATGACTATTCATATTTGATAAATATTGAACAAAATTTACCAATTTGGCATGTGATAATTTAGTCTTCACATGAATGCACATTTTTTCCGCTTCACTTATATTTGTTATTCTTTTTATTGCGTGCAATAGACAGAAAACTCTTGGTCTTCGAACCCATTGCAGCAAATGCAACATGCTCCATGGACAATTTTGTGGAGATTGTTTGTATATGAGGTACAACAAACTTAAATCATATTACTTGCTTTAATTGGATGGTTATTTACTTGAAGAAAAAAATGCTACTCCTCAATTTATTCGAAGTTATCTGGAAAAATATAAAAACTCATACATATAGAGCTTGAACTACTCTACTACTCTTATCTGTCATGATGTAACTCCAAGTCATCACATAGTATGAGTTCATTTTAATTCCATTGAATAATCCTAAGGATTTGTGGGATTCAACATTTACATTATGCATACATATGTGGAATTGTATCCATATAGATATGGAGAGCACGTGGTAGAGGCAAATGAGAACGTGAATTGGATTTGCCCCGTCTGTCGTGGAATATGCAACTGCAGTTTCTGTCGACAAGCAAAGGGGTTTCCTCCCACAGGCACTCTCTACAGGAAGGTATAAAATCCAAATGTGCTCCTCTAACATTTCATATAATTGTTGGTCTAATTTTATTTTGTTTGTCTCAAATGTTAGATCAAGAAATTGGGTTATAAGTCGGTTGCACATTATCTTATTCAAACACGAAGACAAAAGATAGCCCCCAAGAATGATTCAGTTGAGAAGACAAAAGAGAAAGAGGCATGTTAACACCAATTATAATGTTAATTGGTGTATGAAGAGAATGCTAATTTTGTTCATATGGAAGCAATACTCTTTGATTATTTTCTAATCAACAATATTTATGCATCATTGGTCATTAGATTATTTTTGTAATCAACAATATTTATGCATCATTGGTCATTAGAGATTGCTGGTTTTCTCAGATCCATGATCGTATTATTTTTGTAATCAACAATATTGATGCATCATTGAACATTAAATTATTTGTGGCACATTCTCAGATAACATTTTCATTACGAGGGACTGACTCACAACTCCTATGTAATACTTAGGGATGGACTCGGGCCGGGTGGCCTGACCCGGAACCGGCCCGGGACCGGTACTGTTCCGGCCCGGCCCGACCCGGTGGCTTGGTCAGTGACCGGTCCGGGTAGGCCCGGCCCGTGGGTTTTCCGGTCCGGGCTCGGGTCACCCAAAACAAGGCCCGACCCGGCCGGGCCCGGGCCCGGTTCGGGCCAAAAACTGTTTTTTTTTTTTCTTTTTTTTTTAAGTTTTCGGGTTGGGCTGGGTATTTTGGGCCATTTGGGGTGGTTTGGGGGGTTGGGGGTGGGAGGGGGTTAATTAGGAAGAGGAAAACAAAAAAAAAATATAATGGGCCCGGCCCGGCCCGGACCCGGCCCGGACCCGGACCGGACCCGGTGGTTACCCGGGCCGGTCCTGGGTCCACCATTTCTGACCTGCCGGCCCGGACCCGGCTCGGACCCGAGTCCATCCCTAGTAATACTCCCTCGGTCCCATAATTTACTTCCGTAGTATAAATGTCACACGGATTAAGAAAGTGTATTTTGTGTGGTAGAGAGTTGTGCAGAGGAGAGAGAAATGTGTAAGAATTGCTGTGAATCATAAATTTTTTGCCAAAAAAGGAAAGGGAAGTTCTTTTTGGGACGGATGAAAAAAAATTTGGAAGTATTTTTAGGAACAGTAGTCAACTTCGTTTAGCCAAAACACTTGTATTTACGTTGCTAACAAAAATCTTAAGAATGTGTCTTTAGAAATACAAGTATTGAGTGCAGCACTACACTCGTGCAAGTGTGAATTGTTTTATACCTGTAAATGGCACAGTTTTTGCCATTTTCGATGCCCTAACTAATTGTGCCATTGACATTAGTTTTTGGTACTCGACTTTTAATTTTTCCAAACTCGTGCTAGAGACACTTTTAGTTCTCAATTTCAAAGTTCTCCACATTTAATTCCCTGCGTATTATCAAATTGGTATTTTTAGTTCTTTCACTATGATTTTGACATAATAAATGGACGACTAAAATGTCACCAACTCATTATTATAATAGTTGAAGTACTAAATATGGAATTTTTCAAAGACAGGTATCAAAAGTGTCTCTAGCACAATAGAGAAGGATTAATAGTGAAAAAAATTAAAGTTGAGTATAAAAATGTCAATGACATAATAGCCGGAGGATTAAAAATGATAAAAACTCTTAATGACACAAGGGTGGCTTTTCGTGGTTATAATAAACAGAAAAGTATTGAGATTGACGAATATGTTGTCACATTAGTTGCAAGACAATGTTGGATTCTCTCCATAATGGAGAAATTCATGAGAATTTTAGAATATTGCAAAGATGTCTAGGATTCTCTATATATGTGGGCGGAGAAGTACTGGATGTTCTAAAATAATGTGTAGTTTTCTAGAGAACTCTGGAACTCACTAAAACCGTTTTGAAGTGTATGGAAATAGCCGCCATAGCAATGTACAAATCCATGGACTAGAGAACCTCTAGACGTGCGGTCTCCGTCTAGATCCGGACCAACCCAGTGACCGACAGCGAGTTGAGATGGACGTTGCAACAATCGACTCCAACCATGAGCTCCGCCGTGGGAGATGCCTCCTTTTCTTTTCAGCGTTTTTACCGCCGCTTTTAGCTCCAGGAGCCGTGCGTAGAATCACCGACGTTGTTACCTCACTCTTCCATATGGAATAATAGTTTTGGGAGCTTGAGCTACTTGAGGGGTCATGGTCGCAGGACAGGCTGCCCACTTGGCAAAGATGGCAACTGGAACTCTTTGAGAGGATAGGGCGGCTCCAATATTGGTGGGCCGTAGAATAAGGAATCAAAATCCAATCTCTACACATGCCCATTATCTCAAACGATCCAAATAAAAGCTAAGTGCTCTTTGTCTAATTTTTATATAATTTGTCAAATTCATAAATGATTAAAAAAATGCAAAAGAAAAATATAAAATGAAATATTTTAATAATATAGCATCAAACTTCAATCTCGAGGGACGAGTCATCCGTGAAAATACCCGTAAATAGCATCTAGTGGATCCCAACTACAAACTTGAGTGACAAGTTGAGCTAGATTATTAATTTACTATCATTATTTTTTTTAAATAGTGTGTATTTTTTGACATTGAAAAAATGGACTTATGAATTCCAAGCACTCGCGTACACCGGACGAACATAATCACTCGCGCCACCGGGTCACGTCAAACGAGTGTGGATAGAAAGCTCCCAATCCAAATGTTATCAAATAATGCATACTTTAGTTTCTATGTTTTGTATGAGTTATGTGTGCCTCTAGCTATCGAAAATGAACTGTAATCCCTCAGCGGTACGTTCAGTCCTTTATGCGTGCTACGCTCCAACTAAGCATAGAAACCTAGTTTGGGCTGCAGCTTGGAAATTTGAGGCAACTTAATTTAGGCCCAAATCCAATAGCAAATTTTAAGATCAAGAAATTATAACAATTTTATTTGATGCATAGGTGCAACTATATGATGACATCATACCGGCCAAATCCTGGTCATCTTTATTTGATGGCTTGAACTTCTTATAGGCCTCTCAGCCACACGTCTCAGTCACTTTATTTGATGACCCAGGCATCATATTATGAACGGTCACTCGACCCATCTCTTAGTCATCTTTATTTGATGAGTAGGACTACCTATCATGCCTAGCTACGCACATACGAGGACCGATCTCGGCCATCCCCTTAGATGCCGACGGTTGCAGTTCCACGCCCAGGCCGAAGGGTTCACCCATTTTACTTCATTTTGGGGGCATCTGGTGTACTCTTTTTCCCTCATTAGATTTTTTTCCCAAATGTGTTTTTCTTAATGGGGTTTTTAACGAGGCATCTCCCCATTGTGGATCAAAAAGCATCGACCCTCGGCTCCCTATTGAAGACATCACGCGACACGCAATACTCTACTCCTCTTCACCTCCTTACATTCACCTCAAGGAGTGGGGGCCTGGAAGAGCGGAGGACTTAGCGCCTTCGTTAACAAAAGAAGCAGAAATTCAAAAAATTTCACAAAGTTTACTTATCAGACGATAGATCAGCACACAGTTCTACTCCCTTTCGCCTCGAGTACTCTGGACTCAGGGAATGGGGGACTCCTGATAGAGTATATAGACTCGGACCCCCGGGTCTCACGACTATTGGGCTCGGATAGCGACCCACACACGCTTATCGGAAGTCATTCATATTATTGTACATTATTATTCAGATGTTCTAGATTAGCCTTTTATGTTATCAGTTCTTTTATGTAACCGGGTCTGTCAGGCCCATATTAGGGGCCCAGACCCGGATTTCTTCTATATATACTCCTTTTGGAGCTTGTAAGCCCTAGAATGATTATTACACAAGCAATATCACTATTCATCATCTTCTTCCTCTCTATAGTTCAATCTCTCCATTTTATATATGTTTGGATCCTAATAATCCATCAATGGTGCTCTCTTTGAGAGTTTTTGAGCAATATTCAAGTAAAAAACCTCCCAAAAATATCAAAACTTCCTCCAAAATACAGGAAATCCAGCCAACAACAATTCTGAAAAATTAAAAGAAGGAAAAAAAATCTGGAAGTCCCAGGTTTGAGCCGCCGTCAACTTCCACGGACTGTTGTGCGCTACCTGGTGAAGTTCGCTGCACTACCTGGTGAAGTTCGCTGCACTACCTGAAGTCTGCCGCGCCATTGCAACTCTCATCGCTGCCCCTGGTCCGACACCACCGTCGCCGCAGGTCATAGCCGCCATAGCAATGTACAAATCCATGGACTAGAGAACCTCGAGACGTGCGGTCTCCGTTCAGATCCGAACCAACCCAACGATCGACAGCGAGTTGAGATGGACGCTGCAACAATCGAGTCCAACCATGAGCTCCGCCGCGGGAGGTGCCTCCTCTTCTTTTCAGCGTTGTTACCGCCGCTTTTAGCTCCATGAGCCGTGCGTAGAATCTCCGACGTTGTTACCTCACTCTTCCATCTGGAGTAATACTTTTGGGAGCTTGAGCTACTTGAGGGGTCATGGTCGCAAGCAAGGCTGCCCACTTTGCAAAGATGGCAGCTGGAACTCTTTGAGAGGATAGGGCGGCACCAATATTGATGGGTTGTGGAATAAAGAATCAAAATCCAACCTCTACACAGGCCCATTATCTCAAACGATCCAAATAAAAGCTAAGTGCTCTTTGTCTAATTTTTATATAATTTTTCAAATTCATAATGGATTAAAAAAATGCAAAAGAAAAATATAAAATGAAATATTTTTATAATATAGCTTCAAACTTCAATCTCGAGGAGCGAGTCATCCGTGAAAAGACCCGTAAATAGCGTCTAGCGGATCCCAGCTACGAACTTGAGTGACAAGTTGAGCTAGATTATTAATTTACTATCATTTTTTTTAAAAAAATAATGTGTATTTTTTGACATTGAAAAAACGAACTTATGAATTCCGAGCACTCGCGTACACCGGGCGAACACAATCACTCGCGCCACCGGGTCACGTCAAACGAGTGTGGATAGTAAGCTCCCAATCCAAATGTTATCAAATGCATACTTTAGTTTCTATGTTTTGTATGAGTTATGTGTGCCTCTAGCTATCAGAAATGAACTGTAATCCCTCAGCGGTAGGTTCAGTCCTTTATGCATGCCACGCTCCAACTAAGCATAGAAACCTAGCTTGAGATGCAGCTTGGAAATTTGAGGCAACTTAATGCATAGGTGCAACTATATTGGAAATTTGCAGCTCAAATCCAATAGCAAATTATAAGCTCAAGAAATTATAACAATTTTATTTGAATGCATAGGTGCAACTATATGATGACATCATACCGACCACTTAGTCGTCTCTTCTGGTCATCTTTATTTGATGGCTTGAACTTCTTATAGGCCGCACGGTCACACATCTCGGTCACTTTATTTGATGACCCAGACATCATATTATGGACGGTTACTCGACCTATCTCTTAGTCATATTTATTTGA